CATTTAGCTTATGAGTAATTTTTGCATTATTTGTTTTTCAATTTTATACTTTGATGTTTTTATTTGAAGGATATACTTTGTTGTAATATACTATTGTATTTATTAGCGTATTCAAATAATCATGTCATTACGTCACTTTGTAGTGAGAATCTTAAATCCGGGTTGAGCTAGCATGAAATCCCTATTCTAAATATTAGGCCAAACTTATTGTAGCAAACAATAAAACATCAAGAGAGTATATATATTAACTTCCATTTATTCAAACTTCATGCAATACCTAATTTAAACAAAAAACTACCTTCGTCCCACTAACATTGGAACATGTGGAGATGATATTTTTTTGCTACACTTTCTTTTTTCTTATACTTCGTAATATCTATTCTGTTACATGTTAACATCCTTGACTGAGATGAGTTTTGAACTTATGACCTTCTCTTTGGAAGTATCATAGTGATGTTATCGAACTACAAGGTGTTTGGCGGAGATGACATTGTTATTAAGAAAAGTAGATTCATGTGGCCGATATAGAATTGATAAAGTAAGAATAACGTAATAATAATTTAAACCCACAAAAACTTTATCAAATTTATTATGAGATAAATTTAACTTGAGTTTATGGATAGGGGCTCCAGAACATCTAATTTCATTATAGAATTTTGGAAAATGAATCTTTTGTAACAAACTAACGGCATGTTTGGATTGAGTGTTAGCAGGTGTTAGTAAAGTAAGTGTTGAGAAGGGTTGAAATTAACACTTGTTTGGAAGAGAATTTTTTTAAAAAGGGAAGTGTTAGTAAGGGTTAAAAAGTTTTAACAATTACCTCCTCACACCTCAATTGTCCACTTTTTAACATTCCAATTTGGAGTGTTTTGAAGTATTTACAATTATTACTCTTCTCCTTTACATATCCGCCCACTTCAAATGGTCTACTCTTTTCAAAACTTCTCACCCGCCACAGAACAATACCCATCAACTTATTTCCTCATCCAATTGGTCCAGGTTCTCTCATACCCCAATGGCCATCTACCTATTTTGATACTCCCTCCGTCCCTTATAACTTTGTCATCTTTCCTTTTTTGGATGTCCCAAAAAACTTTGACACTTTCCGTTTTAATCAATGAATTTGTGGTTCCTGTTATTTCTCTCTCCTCTGCACATATCTCAACCACACAGTTTTTACTTTATTAGTTCCCGTGCCGGTCAAACTTGGCAAACTATTGAGGGACAGAGGGAGTACATCATATAAACACTCATATCTCATCACATATACTTCCTCCTTTCTTTTTAAGTTGCAACATTCACTTTTTCACGTTTGCCAATGCACTACTTCGACCGTCATTATATTTAATTTTGTATTAATAAAAAAATAATTAAAAATCAGATTATGAAACTTTATAATGAGACGAATTCAACAATTTTTTTCAAAAAAAATAATTCACATATATTAATAAATAAAATGTAGTCAAAGTTAGGGGTGGGAAAAACCGAACCGAAAACCGGAAACCGACCCTGGACCGACCCGAAGTATGATCCCGGTCCGGGATTTTTCTTTTTAACCGGCCCGAATTAAAAAAAAAACGGACCGAACCCGAAATTCAGGGCTCATTAATGGGCCTTAAAATCTATAACCCAGCCCGGCCCGATAAAAACCCGAAGCAATTAGTTTTAATATAAAATTAATATAATATATGAATATAAATTTATAAATATTTCCTAATATGTGATTATAATCACGGTGGATAAAAAAATCATTTAGTAACTTTTAGTAACTACAAATATGTTCAATTTGTTTAGCGTAATGACCATGAAAATATATTTATAGCAACTCTAGTCACATTTTTATCTATAAATTTTATTTCGTAATATTTTAAGAAACCTATATTATTTATTTATATGCATCTTAAATAAAATATTAAGATAATTATCTTCTTTGGATTTGAATTGTTGGTGATTTTGGAGACTAATATTTGTATTATTATTTGCAGTTTGTATTTTTGATTAATTTTATTTGAAAATAGGTGTAAAAATATATATAAAAGAACAATGAGATAGTTCACGTTCGGGCTTTAACCGGCCCAACCCGAACCCGGGCTACCAAAAACCCGACTCGGACCGAATATAAAATGAGCTTTGTTCCGGTCCCCAATAATTTTCATAACCCGAGACCTTCCGGATAATTTCCGGGTTTAGCAAAAACCCGACCCAGACCGGATCGATCTCACCCCTAGTCAAAGTAGAGTACATGAATACTGTGTAATTTGCAATGTTGCAACTAATGCGATACGGGGGATAGTATACATTTCTTCCGTCTTATACATCATACTACGTATAAAAGTTCATAACTGTATGGGTATGTTTGGTTCAAATAATGTCAGATTATCATGAGAATGTCAGAATGTTAGATTGCTGAGAATATTAGATTGATGGGAATGTATTCAACATATTCCCATTTGTGTTTGGTTAACATCAAGGGAATGTGTCATAATTTATTTGGTTGAAAGATATCTTATATTGCAGAAATGATAAATTACTTTTATTCCCTTTAATAATTCTCTTAACACAATAAATTTATTAAAACATACATCTAAAGTGATTAAAATCAAAGAAAAATGAAATATCTTGATAATAAATAAAATCAAACCTAATTGAATTATTTTTAAGTAAAATATGTTTGATTGTAAAAAGTTGTAGATCCAATACAGAAATGAAAAAAAAGTTTGTTCAAATAGTAATATAAATATATTTATTATCATCTCAAAAAAATAAAATTTAAAAAATGATTAAGTTATTCGTAAAAATTGTTTTCAAAATAAGAAAAAATAACCAATATTTGCTATTAAATTTTGAAATCCACTCACCAAAACTTAAATAATATATAACTCTTATAACATAAATACCTTAAAAAAATTAAATGTTAAGGAAAAAAGTTATGCAAATAACAAGAATAGACATTCAAATATAATTAATACCCCGTCCTTCCCACCTAAAAGGTTGTTACACAATTTACGATGTTCGACAGACCAGGAAACTAACTGATCTCTATCAATAATAAGATTATTTTTAGTAAATAAAATTTACATATTTAGACTCTAAGTTAAAAGTGTTATAAAGTCACAAAAAATTAAATTTGATAACAGTTGAAAATATAAAGAAATTAAATGAAAAAAGATAATTAATTAAAGGTATTTTCAGAAGAAAATTAAATCACCCCGAGAATGTGAGATAACCTAAGGCATGGATGGGTTTAACATTCCCCTCCATATTACATTCCCGGGTATGTAACTTTCCCGATTTTTTTCAAACACGTGAACCAAAGAAGGGTATCTAACATTCCGTGCATCACATTCCGGCCTTCATGTGAGATCTACTTCCGGGAACAAAGGGAAAACAACGTGAAATATATAGATATATAATATATATGAAGTATATAATTTTCCTTTGGCAAAAAAAATAGCCACGAAATTGGAATTAAAGTTTCGTAAATCAATTAGCTTTAGGTAGATTATATATAGTCCTTTTCTTGTCCAACCGGCCTGACGGGAACCGCCGTCCGGCCGAGGGCATTTCGGGCGCTTCCCGATGGAATTTTGTGATGAAATTTTTTGAGCATGTTCTTCATGAAGTCTAGTTTATCCATACCAAATTGCAGCTCAAAATTCGATCGGAAAGGCATTCAAATAATTTTTTGAAGTTGACTGCGCAGTTTATATGTGTGAACTGCCCAGTTAACTTCAAGAAATTATTTGGGTGCCTTCTCGATTGACTTTTTAGCTGAAATTTGGTATGGATAAACTAGACTTCACGAAGAACATGCTCAAAAAATTTCATCAAAAATTTCCCCGGGAAGTGCCCGAAATGCCCTCGTCCGGACGGAGCATCCCGTCAGGCCGGCCTGACATGAAGATTTGTCTACACACACACACACACTGGTACATTAAAATTAACTTTACACAGGATTCTTAAGTGGCCAAAATCAATTGTCAAGTTAACTTATTTTTTTTTAAAAAATCAAATAACTAATCTATTATTAAACGATAACAAAGATACAAGAGAATGAATAGTTTAAGGCTACAATGGGGTGAGGCATAGAACGGAACAGATCCAATGAATGCTTCCAGATCGCTGACCCCGCAATAATGTAGTCTAGTCTAACAGTCTTGTTGCTCTTCTTGTTACTCCAAACAGAGATTAAAAAATTACAACTAAAAGATCCGGCTTCACCAGCCACCGGAAAGGGAGAATTGGTTTGGCTAACAACCAACAAAGGAAAATCAGTTGAGCAGAAATTTTCTGAAGCATCGGTTTGACCAGCAACCGAAGAGGAGATCCAATTGATCTTCTTCTTCCTAGAGTGAGGCGGTGGTTCAGGTGGTGGGCGAGTATTTGAAGCATCGGAACAACAAGGTTGAAAAAGCTTTACCAACCATGAACAACGAAAATTCACAAGATCGATTATCCCGATTAGAAACACACAAACTCTAGACATTGCTAGAAGAATAATGAAGCGGACAAAATTATCGGCAAATGAAGAAGCCGGACCAAAATCCTCGAAAATAGAAATTAAAAAAGAGTAGAAGCATTGAAAAACCTTCGATTTGATCTTTCATTGCATAGAGAATGTCACCATCTTCCAAAAAAAATTGCTGATTGAAAAGGAAAAGATTGAAAATCAAATCTTGAAGGAGGTTGGGGATGGTGCCTAGGGTTTCCCCTAGGTCCGGCTCTCCAAAACTTTTTCAAATCAACTTAATACTATCGGACTTGTTATAAACTAACAATCGTAACTGTGTAAGGATATTTTTGTAAATTGAAGTGAAAACACTTCCTTTAGTAACACTCCATTTCTGTAGTCATTCCAAACAAGGTTAATTTACACTTAACACTTACACTTATCATCCTTCCAGGCTCCTGCCAACACTCGTTAACATTTTCATTACTAACACCTTTCAACATTCTATCCAAAGAAGCCGTAAGAGTCATACAATGATCTAAAACAAGGAGGCTAGTAATTACGGAGTAATTGATAACTTTAAAACAAACACAGTTCTTAACAAGAAGATTACATGTGACATACGGAGTATGAGAAGGAGATACAAATGAACAATAAGAAAGGATGAAAGAGACGTTACATCAGAAACTTTGAATTTAAAAGTATACGCAATACAAAACAAAAAATTGACTAATAATTAATTAAACACACAGTATGGATCGTTACATCCTAGGCAAAGGAAACAATAATGTAAAAATGTGTAAAACGAAAAAAGGGAAGGCAAAAGGACATAAATGCCATCAAGAATATGCAGATTACCGGCCGGGCCCCACTAACAAAGCTGGATCGGCGAGAGACCGGCGGGCAGCAGGCCGGCCACACAGCTTTCAGATTCTTCTTCGATTGGATCGGAGGATGGGCAGGCCGGCGGCGGCGATCTGTGAATATTCCTCCGACGTACAGCTATATACGGAGTATAATTTATTCTTTCTTGGAAGAAAAACAGAGCATGTATGATCTTACTTATTTATTTATGCATTCATCAACGGAAAAGGAAATGAGGGGGAGAGCATTAATACGAGGAAGAGGAGTAAGAGCAGGCAAGAAATCGACGGTGTGGCGGCGGCGGCGGAGGATCCAGGTGGTGGAGGTGGGTGTAGGAAGTAGAATGGGAAGTAGGGGAGAATTGGGTTAGGCGGTGGCGGCGCAGGTCCTGTGGGGGGCTGGTAGCTGTAGCCCGGAGCTGGCGGTGATGGATTGTAGGGTGGGCCGGGTGGGCCAGTGCTAATAGCAGGTGGGGTCACGGGGGTGTAACTCGGCGGGTTGTCGTTGGAGCCTGACGGCGGCGTTGGCGGCGGCGTTGGCAAGTTCTCGTTACCCGGGGTAGCAGGAGGAATGGGCGGCGGCGGCGGGCAGGTGCTGGGGTCGGCAGGCGGAGATGGCGGCGTCGGCGGCGGCAAGCTGCACTGACAAACAGGTGTGGGGTCAGCGGTGCAGCCGCTGTTCAACAGTGCTGACGTGATCGCCACCCAGAAACAAATCCTGATGGCGGCGCCCTCCATTATTCTAGCTCTGTATTTATATAGAAACAGAGAAAAGAATGGATCCTAGCTAGCTTGATGGAATTGAATGGCAGCTAGCAGTGGTGGGTTCTGCAAAAGTTAAGGATCGGTCGCTTTTGAGGAAATCAATCAATCAGGAAACGTCGGAACGGAAAAAGTTAAGATTTTGAGTCTTTTGGTGGGGAAGGGCCCGGCCGCCGGCAACTCAACATCAGGGCACTTGTAGACGAAGGAAATTTTGGATGGAGGAAAACCAAAGACGATGAAATTAAAAGGGATTAATAGGTGCTTGTTTACTAATATCTTTTGATGGGGAATGACTATTAATTATGATTATGATTACCCCTTTTATTATTACTCCCTATCTCTATCTACTACTACGTACGTATCAATCAATCTATATATATGTTCACTCACCTTTATTAAATAAAAAAAATAAAATTGCACCCATTTTTTTACTTTCCCATCAACTTTACCACTTCTCTGCTTTTTTAACCATTTACAAAATTTTAATGATGCATATTACAGAAGGTCTGATGAATTTTCCTCACCTTTCGTTTTAATAAGGTACAACCATACATAATTTGTGTCGGAAAATTGTTTGATAAGTTGAAGCTGTTGGAAATTGATGAATTGCTAGAATATGTGAATTGCGAAAAATTATACTTTATTCGTTCTTTATTAATTGCAGCATTGTGTTTTTTTTGCATTATTTATACATTTTACTTTGATCACGATTTTTGAACTAATATGTTTAATCAAATTATCATGTATAAAATGTTATGGAGTATATAATTTTTATTCATGTAATTTTTAAATAATATATGTATCAAATGTTATGGAGTATATAATTTTTATTCATGTAATTTTCTAAATAATATATTTTTATAATGTTTAGTAATAGGGGTTTTTACAAGAATATTACTAAAATAAAACATATATTCATAAATATGACTATTCATTACTACAATGTGGTGTTGTGGTAACTTAAGCTCAAAACTTGAACGTCACTAGTCACTAGTCATATTTTTGTAAATCATCTTTATTTTGGTCGTATTTATGTAATTATTTCTTAGTAATATACATTAAATATAATTACGATCAAAATAGCGTATTAGCAAACAAGAAAGTCAAACTGTTACAACTATTAATAAAATAAAGAAAATACTTTATTTAAAAATAACTATGATGATCTTTGAAGTGACTTCAGTACACAAAACACAAAAGTAACTTTAACTTATAATTATTTTTATTATTACATATTTTAGTGCGTGAAATTTGAAGTCCCCTATTGATAAAATATGATTGACTAAGACTAATAAGTTGAAACTTTGGGTTGCGGGCTAAACAGCTCATATTCTTCTGTTGGATTATGATTTTTGCATTCACTTTTTTCGACACAATTTAATTGCATTCTACACTTTTTGGTTATCACCGGATTGTTTATCACCTAGCACTTGCTTAAAATTATTTATGAAAAAATTAACTGTATTTTGTAAGGAGGGTTTTGCATTTTGTTTTATGAACATAGATGGAGTAGAAGAGAAGTCGGGGTGGAGAAATGGTTCAAAAAGGGGCCGCCGACGCGTTTTACTTTGTGTGGCACCGCGTAAACAATTTGACAAATTCACTTTCTTTCCGGAAAATGTTTTCTTGCTATACAACTTTACTCATTTCATCTACTCTACATGTCTATATTTCCTACCAACCATTGAATAACTACACACTATTCTAGTATTCTACTACCAGTTTGTACATCATTATTCATTCGTATTCTATAATTTATTCGCAATACAAATATACAATATTGAAAAATTTAAAATTCCGGTTGACTATCCAAAAAATACATATGTTAATGATATGTAATATGTACGGAGGTGTAGAAAGAAATTGTTCTCGTGCCTTTGAATTGTTTTGCCTATCTCTCTCTAGCGCCACCATAGGTTGGCCTAGGGTTTTGTCCGGCGGCGGGCTTCTTGGCTTGCCACCGCATTTTTATTAGTTAGTTTTCGGCAAGGACAAAGGGTTGGAGCAAGATTTCGGCTTCGGCGGTTCGAATGCATTCGGTATCGGCATTGACGAAGGGTGCAGCGGCGGCTTCGGTGGGTCCTCTGCGGCGGCTTTGAGCAGTGTGTGGAACGAATGGAAGAGTTGATGCACCAGTACAAGAGGACGGTATTAGGGGAAGAAAACACCAACTTGAATTTTGATGATAAGAAGGATGGAGAGTTGTTTTCAACAGAGAAGGGAGCTGAATTTCTGGTGATGGGAGTTGCCTTCAAGAATTGGAAAGAAGTTACAGTACTATCGGATCGTCCCCCTCCTGAACTGCCGCCGTGGAGTGCAGGAGAGGCTATGGTTTGGTTTGGATTTTCTGGCAACGGAAGTATTTCTTATTTTGTTTTGTTTGTTTTTTCAGTAATTGTCATTTCCGTTTTGGTGTTTGTTTTTTCTGTTATGTTCCAGTTTGTAAGACATTGATTTTGGATATGAGGGATGAGAGGAATTTGGTAACCGAGTTAGGCTTTTTGTTTCCCGGTTATGGATCAGCGAATTATATTGCTACGACGATTAATTCCGAGTCTGGTTCGAGGGATGACGGCTATCAGTTTTCTTTTTGTCAGTTGACGCATATTCTGAACTTTTATTGGTTATTTATCTAAGCCGATTTCTGTCAAAAAAATGTAATATGTACGGAATATTTTTTTTTGGAAGAAATGTAAGGAGTATATTTGAACTTTGTATACATAAGTAGCACAATGATGATGTTCATTAAATGTAAACTTATAGAGGTAAGTATATCATTTAAAATGTGCTAGCATTTATCTTGATGCACATAACGTTCTAAGCTTCCATTTGAGATGTAAATAAAATTCCTTCTGATCTACAAATTACAATACTTATGATTTGGTATTTATCAACACTAGAATTTCATCAATAAAATGTTTAATTGACTATTAGTAAAAATAAAGAGAAAAATTGTCAAATCTGCCCTCGAAGTATACCAAAAAAAGTCAATTAGTCACAATGTCACACTAATTAAAAAAACACTCAATTAATTCCATAAACTATATAAAAACGATCAAATTTTGAATTTAGTAAGTTGATTCACGATTAACCGGTCCTCTGCTTACGTGGCAGTCCAGGTGGCGTAGTAAAATGTTTTTCCGTTTTTCCTTTTTTTTTTCTTGTTTCTGATAGAAGATCACTGTCATATTTCTTTTCTTCAACCTGTCCCTCAATTCTTCTTTTACCGCACACGGCACACCCCACCTCTACCCCTTCCCTTCTTTCTTGTTCTTCTTAAGCCCAACTCACATCTCCCTTCTTCTTCTCCTCCCCCCCCTACCATGCCCCACCCTCGTATTTCATAGTCATACTACAAATATCAAATAGTTTGGACTTTGGATAGAAGCATTTGTCAAGTCAAAAAGAGGAATGACAACCTACTAAATTCTAAATTTGATTAGTTTTGTATAGTTCTTGGACTTAGCGGGTGTTTCTTTAGGTTAGAGGGCCTAATTGACTTTATTGATATACTTAATTTTAACAATTTTTCATAAAATAAAAAATTAAATCATTAAAATTTAATCAAGGATAAATTTTGTTATATCTTATTTAGAAAATTCATTTAGTGCATTAATAAATAAAATGTAATAAAAGTAGAAAAGTAGAGGATGAAAACATTGTAAAATATAAAACATTTCAACCATGGTGTTGAAATAATCTATATTGTACTCGTTCATTCTCCATTCGTTAATAGGTAAAAGACATTGAATTTTAGACTATTTAAAACACATTTTAAGCTATGCACACAACCACAGCCACACACCCTACTTTAACTGTTTTTTAATTTTTATTTTTTATTTTACCCTACAGGGTCAAAGGGAGGAGGCTGAAGGGAGTTTGGGGTAAACAAGAATGAAACTGTCTCCATGAAACAAGGTTGAGGAAGTAGTACATAAAGATAAAGATAAAGCAAAAAAAGTGTGAAGGACTGAAGTGTATATCTTCTAAAACAGCTAATATCATTTATTCACTTGTAACTTGTGCAAACCAATTTAGGGAAAGGCAAAGAACAGTCATATTGATGGCAGAAAGATGCAAGAATACTAGGGAAATGAATGACAATTCTAAGGAAAGATGTTTTCATGTGTTTGGATCATTCCCTAGTGATTTTATTTTGATTGTCGTACATTACCGCTGTGGCGCTGCGCTGCAATCATTTTCCAAATTTCCAATACATACATAATAATTAAAATTTAGGTTTGATTAATTTTAGGTGATTACAATTTTAGGTTTGATCTGCCAAACAGCAAGTACATGAATCGCACGAGTTGGGAGTCTGAATAGTAACACAATATAAATCGAACAAATTTACAGATACAGTCATATCCACTACCCATTACATTGAAGCTGTTTCCGACCTGTCTCCGAACAAATATCCACAATTTCTTCATATCTACAATATAAATCGAACAAATAAAGCAAAATGGCTCACTTCTTTGTTACAGATACACTGTCATATCCATGATTGCATATGCTCGGAGTCTCAAACACAAGTACATTTGATAGTACAAAATTAAATATGAATTTTTGAGAAGAAAATGGTGGAACTATCATAAAATCCATTCCAGAAATCTTCAAAGAACAGGTATGGGCTATGGCTTCCATAATTTCATTGTGCAGTCTTCACCGTATGTGGTGGCAACAAGATTTTTATGGGGATGGTGAGTAATACCAATCACATCTTTCTCATGCACCTGCCACCCTAGTATTGATATATTTGGAACATTGGTGAACAAATTGTCATTGAGGTGGCCTTTGTAGTTAACATCATCATCAAAGTCTCCTACCTACACGGGGGGGGGGGGGGGGGGGTCGGATGTACACAACCTTACGCCTGTACTGAAGCACACAGACTATTTCCGGATGACTAGCGGTGAAATCGCGTTGAAAATTGCATGGTCTGACTGTGTAAAAATTTGTTGACTAGTGAAACATTTTGCTTTATTCCATTATATTCTCAAGCCAAAAAGCATGCAGGACTCCCTTTCAAATTAGTACTTCCTCCGTCCCGCAATTTAATTGACTCCCTTTCAATTTTAAGTTGTCCTAGATACTACCTCCTTACCGATCGGAGGTGGTGGTGCTGGGAGGCAGTAGAGGCGATGGGAAAGGCATCCATATTATTTTTATATTTTTTATGTGTTTTCACTATGTTTTATTAATTTTTTAAATATTTTTATTTTAAAAAAATAAAAAAATTATATTATAAATACGGAGCATTTTATTAATTTTTTATTATTTTCTTACGAATTTTATTATTTTTTACGACTTTTTTATGAATTAAAACATTTTATTATGAATTAATACCCCTAGGGGTAATTAAGGGTAGAAATTAATTGTTTCAAAAAAGGGTAGAAAATTAATGTTTAGTCCTATTTGTGGAAGATTTAGGTTTTAGTGCTATTTTGGCAATTAAGTTTCCACTTAATCCTATTTAGGGCAATTACTATATAAGATAAGATCATATAGCATATCAAATGATGGAATTAGGACGTGTTAAATGTGAAAGTTGAGCTAAACTATGTTGAGGCAATTAACTCCAAAAATAGCTAGTAAGAACAACTGAACATTTATCTCAAACAAGTACTGGTTGAGAATATTCAAGAACTTCGGGGACATCTATGACACATTCAAATACAATATTTACAGGAAATGGGTAAACTATTTGAAGGAAAATAACAGTTACCTGGGGAGACAAATGAGGAGAAGAGGGAGTTTACTGGCATCACAATGAATGGGTTTAGGCGGGGGAAGGAGCAGACAACTGCTTATTTGATAGAGAGTTGGAAGAGCATGGGGCGGGTAGGCACAGTATTGAAGTCCAACCCCCCAAATGTGTTTTTTTGAATTCTCAATCCATGTCATTATTGGTTTATCATGGCTTGTATTTAAGCCACTACCATTTTCATTTCCATGACTTACCATGTGTAGACTAATATTGTTAAATCCAAACTTTGGATTCAACTTAGAGGATGCAAAGGAATTTGCAATAAGACTAATATTGTTGAATAAAATATAAGGAGTATGTTGTATATATCTAGGGATTAGTATTTATGAATAGATAAAAATGATTCCGGACAAATACTAAATAAATTTATGGAGTTTGAGCCAACATTTTTTCCTTTGAATTTCTCCTCTATTTTCCTTTGTTTTCTTTCCCCACCATTTCCCGCATTCCAGATGGACCCAGCGTAAATTAGTGATGTATGTCAACAAACAAGGCTAGGATTATTTGTACCTCATTACTTCTGGCCTACTCCATTTTTTTTTTCTTTTTTTACAGTTCCAAGCCAGAAGTGTCCTGTTCCAAACTGGAACTGACGGTTCACAGTTCCACATTCTCTAAAACTATGAAGTATGAACAGGTTGTGGTTCTAAAACCGGCAGTCCTGGTGAAACAATAGACAGGTCAATTAACAGGTGATTTGGCAATATTTATTAGAAAGTAGAAACACCAGAAAAAAGCACCACCTTGGCACAGCTAGTTCAGGGAGCACCACACTGGATCCACGTCAAATCACTTCCAGTATCCATATCAAGAAAGTATGGCTTAGGAAGATTCCCTATGAGCACATAAGTGTAGTATACCTGTACGGAAATTGTCATTGTGAATTGCTTGTGGCACTAAAACAGAAATATACGCACAAAAAGGCATACAACGCATAACTCTACTGAGATATGCTACAATCTGAACCTAGTAGAGGTTAAATGTATGACACCCCACACATTCTATTGAGTTCATATTAATGCACGACCACTCCAGAGAGTCTAAGGTTTTCAATGACGAGTTGGGGGAGGAAGAAATGGAAACAGCGGTCGTATATAGATAATACCTAGTGAGTTGACTAAAGCAAGCAAAGATGATCAAATTTACCCATCTGGATAAATGTTTCCCTTCAGGGGGGGGGACTGTGGAGTTATGCTTCGCAACTGCAGAAACAGAATTCATAATCTTTGCATGAACTATATCACCCTCCATCGTCTCTCCCACAGCATCGGATTCAAAGTCCTCAAACCTACCAAGTTTAACAACAACATTTTTTAATGCAAAATAATAACGAAATTAAATAAAAAACAGTTAGTGCCACTGTCAAATAAATTCCTCATATATCTCACCTTCCTCGAGAAATAACGGATTCTTCCCAAAAAGAAACTGAAGATACAAGAAAATCTTTCCAGCAATTTTTCAGAATGCATTAGCATATTTGAATGAATGCCAACTAATGCTTTGGTCAATTGTTGCACCAAAGGATTTCAAGAATTGAAACTATGATATCCCCCCCGGGAGGTCTAATGTTTCACCTCTTGTCACTACAGACACGTGTACTCTTCAAAAGAAGAAAAATGTTTCTGTCAAAGTTCTACGCAGCCAATGCTTCATAAGCTTCTTCTTCATCTGATGTCGACTCTTCATTAGACGAGTGTGAAGCGTCTTTTATTTGCCTAGTAAGCCCTCCCAACAGAGAATAAATTTCCAATCTTTGACTGTTTGTGGTGTCTGCAACCATGAAGGAGGAAAATCCAGCTTTCATATCAATCCAAGCACATCCTGGATCTTTCCTCACACCTGAGTCCCTCATTAAGGTTCTTACATTAGCCAGTTTATTCCAACTGCCAGCAGCAGCGTACATGTTTGCTATCAAAACATAGTACCCAGAATTATCTGGCCTCATTTCCAGCAATTTCTCAGCTGCCCACTCACCAATCTCGGTGTTCCCGTGGATTCGGCATGCCCCAATCAGTGTGGCCCACATTTCCTCTGTTGGCTCAAATGACATCTTCATGATAATATGTTGAGCCTTTTTTAGTAAACCTGACCTTCCATAGAGATCAATCATACAGGAAACATGCTCCAGTTGAGGAGTTACGCCGTAAACGCTTTGCATCAGTTCAAAAAGTTTCTCTCCCTGGTCTAAAAGACCAGAATGACTACAAGCTGATAATATGGAAACCATGGTGACATGGTCTGGTTTTATGTGGGACCTAATCATGTCCATGAAAAGTCTAATCGCTTCTTTTCCATTTCCTTGGACACCATATCCAGCTATTAATGAAGTGTATGTCACTGTATCTTTCTTGCTCATGGAATCAAAGAGTTTCTTGGCTAGATACACTTTTCCTGATCTTGCATACATATCCAGAAGAGAGTTCCATAATATCAATTGTTGCTCAAACCCTTCATGCTTACAGAGATAGCAGTGAAACTCTCTTCCATGTTGGAGATTCGCAACCCGAGCACATAATGGAAGTATGCTTGCTATTGTCACATAATTTGGTTTAAATCCGCAAAGCAACATTTCCCGAAAAAAGAATGAGGCTTCCTCATATCTACCGCAATGTGCAAATCCAGATATGATGGAGTTCCAGGAAACTATACTTTTACTCTCTTTCAACTGAAATATAGTATATGCATGTTTTAGATCTTTGCATCTAGCATACATGGTAATCAATGCATTTGTTACATTATCAAAATCCTGAAAATGACTCCGAATGGCCAAACAGTGAATTTCTTTCCCAATCCTTATCAAACCAGTTTGAGAACATGCTCCTAGACCTATAAGAACAGCCACAGGATCCAACACAAACCCGCAATTTCTCATCCGGGAGAGCAACTCAAAAGCACCTTCAAAGTTGCCCGTTTTTGTACACCCGCTAGCTATGGTATTCCAAGTGATATTATTCAACTCAATACCTTTAAAAATCATTCTTTCAAAAAGATCAAAGGCTTTACTCCACATATCATTAGAGGCATATCCAGAAATCATCGCGTTCCAAGAAACAGCGTCCTTAACTAGAATTCGTTCAAAGATCTGACAAGCAATATCCAGTTCCCCGCACTTAGCATACATTGACAGTAAAGCGTTATCAACAAACATGTTTCTTTTCGAAGAACTAGCATCTATAGACTTGTGAACCTCCCTTCCAAAAGAAAGATTCGCCTGTTCTCCACAAGCCTTGAGAACGGATGGATAGGTGAAATTATCAGGCCAGATTCCCTTACTTACCATTTGCTTATAAGCAGATAGAACAGCATCATACTGCCTAACTTTTACATAGGAATAAATGAGAAGGTTCCATGGCAAAGGATGCAAAACATTGGATGTTTCAGTCACTTTGTGAGCATCAAGAAGTAAACCAAATGTTGTGTAGAAGGTGATTATTTTAGGAACCAACATGGCATGGTGTGCAAGACCAGAAGTAATAGCATAGGCATGTAGCTGTTTGCCCTCACTAAATGACTTGAGTTCCGTGCAACATTGGAAGAGAGATGATAAGGACTGTAGCACTGTGTGGCATGGAGATTGTGAGGGTACATTCAACTGAATAAGACCAAAAGTTCTAAAAGCTTTCAATAAATGGCCTTCACTTGCAAAATTCTTCAAGGTTGATAGTAAGCAATCCACCATTGATTCATCATAGGGTACTTTAGTCCTTAAAATTGGTTCATGAGAACTAGAAACAAGGGATTCAATATTCTTTTTAATGTCTGACACTTTAACACATTGTCGCCACTTCTTGGGTATGAATTTTTCAACTTGTGAAAGAGAAAAGTTTCTGGGTAGCAAACTATCCGCAAAGGGCATAAAATGAAGACGACCAGGTTATCTGAACAGAAACAGTTTCTGGTTGCATGACGGCACCAACGGTTGCAACATCCAAAAGATATACACTATAAGAGGCACACTAATGGGGGAGAAATTTGGCGTCGTGCACAGGGCCCAGACTCTGACATAAAAAACAGAAATTAGGTTCAAACAAAAAGGTGAGATTGGGCACAATTTTGATGCAGTTGTCTGAGTACCAAACACGGGCGGATCCAGGAATGAGAAGTGGGGTGGGCTAAGCAGTAAAAAAAATTGCACTATACATACAAGGTTTAACTTAGGGCTGTTACCAAATCGAGCATTTTTCAAACTATATGCTCGAGTTTGAGCTTGATTTCTAATCTAATTTAACGACCCGATTTTAATGAGCTTCGAACTCGAACACGGACTAGGTTTTGAGTTTGAATAATAAATCAAATCGAATTCGGACATAGTGATGTTTAAATGGTTCAATCCGGTCTCAAGCATATTGCTCACTTATAAACTATAGAAATCAATTGTATTACATCAGTTCTTTTTTAGTTATAACATTGGTGAATTTCGCACTATTCAAATACTCTACTTTGACTACATTTTATATTTTAATGTATTATAAATTCTTTTTTGAAGATTATTTTTTTTTGGGCAATTTTTTTTTGAAAATTAATTGTTAAACTCCTCTCATTTTAAATTTTCAAAATCTGATATTTTTAATTTGTTTAATAACAAGAAATGAAAGATGTTAATGATTAAACTTGTGTGTTAGCAAACGTGAATACTAAACCGTTGCAATTTATAGAGAACGAAGGAAGTATATATCTCAAAATTTAAACGTTTTATTGCAATTTTAAGAATTTATTAATGATTATTAAAAATTTGAGTACATTTGTTGAATAATTCGAACATGAATCTATTAACGAGTATAGCCTAAAGTTCTACATTCAATATTGGTATGAATTAATATAATTCTATAAAACTATAAAACTAATAATAAAAAAAGACGGTTGTATAAAAAACTAATAAGTATTTCCAATTTCAAAATTCAATTGAAATTATTAATTCCTTCTTACATGTCCACACAATAAATAAATCTCTCTCTTATTTTCAAAACTTTAAAAAATGTATAAAAAATAAATCACTCTCTAATCTTTAATTCTATCTTTAGTCATTATAAATTTATAATGAATTAAAGCTTTTTTATTATGAACTGAAAAATTCACTTAATGATCAAATAGATTTACAAAACTGAAAAAAATGCACAATTACACAAATTCACAAAATAATACAATATTTAACAAATAAAACACACTAACACAATCGCTCCAGGCCCTCTTTGTTAATCAAATATTCAAATAGATTTACAATGGTTCACAAAATAATACAATTTTTAGCAAATTATATAATGTTTAATCAAGCAAAAAGGGTCTAAAAGAGTATTAGAATTTAGAGTATACCTGGAGCTGGAGGCAGCCGGCAGCCGCAGAGGAGAGACTCGGACTGGTTACTCGGAGAGCCGGAGATGGAAGACCGCTGACGCAGGGCCGTGGAACGTGGACGGAGGGAGGCGGCGCAACTGGTGGCCGCAGGTCGGCAGGGTTTCTTGTCTCCACCGCAGCTCCGGTAGTCCCTCGACCCTCTTCGACCTTGGTGATTCGCAGTTCGCAGTCTTGTCACTCTTGTGTTATACGGAGTAATATTCCCTCAAAAAAAAAGTCTTGTGTTCTAATAAAGCCTTCATTTTATTTCAAAAAAAAAAAAAAGCCTTCATTCATTTGGAGACGGCAGCATCAAAATCTGCAGGTTTGGGTGAGATTTGATCTGAGAATAAATTATTTTTAAAATATATTTTATTAATAAAATAAAGAAAACATTATGTGTAAAAATAGCTAAAATGGTGAAAAGTAACTCCAATCTTACTTTTTCTGCTTATTACACAATTAAGTGCGCGAAAGAAAAAATTACGTATTTGGTGAAAATGTTGGTTGATAAGTCCGATAAGCCGAAAAACAGTGTTGTCAAACGGCCTCTAAATATTTGGCCTAATTAGAGTTAATGGGCTGTTTGTATGTTCCTTACCATTTTTCAGTTTGTTATAGCTAAATCATATTAACTAACGAACTGGTAGTTAAGTTGTTGGATGATGTATAAGGCTGACCGCAACTCAGCCTGTCAATAAATCTAATCTAACACCATTTTATACGTATTCACTTAGTCAATTCAATTTTTTCCTGCAACCCAACACCGTCAATATATTCACTCAACACATTCTTTTTTAGTTAAATCCTCACTTTTATTATTATATATAATTTTTGTTTCCCAAAATCTATTTTTGCAAATAATTATGATTTAAAATATCAAACATTCCGATGTAAAAATAAGTAAATTTAGAGTGAAATTTTTAACCATGAGATCTTTTTTTACATATCCAATACTGGTGTCATATGAAAGGTTATAAAAAGTTATGAATTTTGATATATTTTTTATACAAATTAGAGCATAAATAAAAAAGTTACAACACTTTAAAGAAAATAATAATAATTTCACATGGGTCCCATGTTGATCATTTCTCCTGCGTGCATCACATCTAGTCCATGGGTCCATTTTTTGCATATACTTTTTGAGTGAATAGAGTGTGAATTGCTAGTACCCAAGGTCCTATGCATCACATTACCAGACCTCCATATACGTTTTTTATCTTGTGTTGCAGCACTTATGGGAGTCAATAGTTTCCAATAAGCTTTTTGACTCCATGCAATGTGGTTAGCCTAAAAGAGGCTATAACAGTTGTATATGGCCATGGTCGAGATAATAAGCGAATTTCTTCTTGTCTTTCCTTTTGTTACTTCAAAAATGGTGGATTGTATTTTTATTGAATATGCACAAAATAGTAGTGCTTATCGGTTTTTAGCAAACGATTCGAATAATCCAGATGTACATAAAAACACAATATGAATCAAGGAATGCATCATTCTTTGAAGACGTATATATTTCCATTCAAGTCCAGCGAAGGACCAAGCACGTCAAAACGAACATTTGACGTAGCAAACGTGCTAGAATAGAAAAATCCTTCGGTCTGGATTTTCTCACCTACTTGGTAGAATTCGATTCCGATATTCTAACATGTTTGGTAGAAAATGGGCCACGGACTTATACGGAAGCCGTGACGTCTACCGAAGGTCCGATGTGGAAAGAAGCCATCAAAAGTGAGGTGGATTCTACCCTAAAAAATCGCATGTGGAATTGGTTGATCTTCCTACGAGATGTAAACCTTTGGAGTCCAAGTGGATTTTTAAACAGAAAATGAAACCAAACGGTTCCATTGATAAGTACAAGGTCAGACTTGTAATTAAGGGATACATGCAATGTGAATGCCATGATTACTTTGACAGGTATTCTCCGGTGACGAAAATAAATTCCATTAGGATGATACTAGCCATTGTTGCTTTGCGGAAATTCGAAGTTCATCAAATGGATGTAAAAAACGCTTTTCTAAAATGGCAATATAGACGAAGAAATCTATATGGATCAACCCAAAGGCTTTCATGTTCCTGGCCAAGAAAGGAAAGCGTGTAAATTAATTAAGTCATTGTATGGATTGAAACAAGCCCCTAAACAGTGACATGAAAAGTTTGATCATGCAATGTTAATTAATGGGTTTAAAATAAACGAAAGTGACAAATGCTTCTATGTGAAGAGCACAGTAGATGGCTATGTCATTTTGTGTTTATACGTAGATGATATACTCATCGTGGGTAACAATAATCTAATGATTAATTTTACCAAAAACATGTTAAATTGTAAATTTGACATGAAGGGTATGAGGCTGACTGATTTAATCATTGGGATTAAATAATTAGAGCTTTGGCTAATTCCGCTCCTTCTATTTTCTGTTTTTCTTTGTCATTTAAATTAATTTTACTTAATTAATTATTCTTTATTCTCCGAGACACACCAACACCAAGAACCTAACCTTCCCTCACCATTGACGGACGTGAAGGGAGGGTTAGGACTACTACTACTTGAGAGAGGTTTGAGACAAATTAAATAAATTTTGGAGGGTTTGATAACCACCCGAACAACTAGGCATTAGATCCCCTTTTAGTAGAGCAGTAGTAGTAGTAACTATTCTCTTAAGGGTCTTTGAACCTAGAACTTAGGGAGTATAATAGTATATCCCATTTGGAGTAGGGAGACGTTGGCGTCAGAATTACTTAAGGAGTATATCCCTTGTTATGCTTTCAGTCATAAACTTATCAATGATAAAATAATCAATAGACTAATTAAAAGATTAAAGGGTTTTAGTTTAAATAAATTTTTATATACTTCCTAAAAAGTTTATATACATTTGAAAATTATATTTTGTTATAGGAATATGATAGTGGAATTTATAGGAATAAAATATTTATTGATCAAATGGTATTTTCACATAAAATGAAAAAAATAAGTTGAATTGGAAGGTCGGGGTGTTCGGCCACCACTTACCAACTAGGTGGGCGTGATGGTCCTAGATAGAGGTAAAAGTCTAGGGGGGGAGAGGGGTGAATAGACTTTTAAAGCTTTTTCAACTTTAAGAAGTTTCCCTACCAGATATGATGATCAATAACCTTTTGAGAGATTAAAGATCCACAACGGAAGTCTTGACCTCTATGTATATAACAACTTTCTATTAGTAAGTGGACAAGGAGAAGTTTGAGAGATGGTCAAATAAGTTTCATGATCTCAAAGGAACCTAAGTGAAGTGTTTGAGTGAGGTAAAATGAACGTTCCTTGTTTTCAGAGACAGAGGTGCCTAGTGGCAGAGATGCTCCGGACAGAAGATATTAACCAGAATACTTTGGTATGGTGTTCTGGTGTCTTCATGACAGAACCCTTCGCGAAGTCTTCTGTTGGCCTCGGAACAGAATCCCTCACAGGGTCTTCTGTGACTACTTCGAAGGTGATGTGTATAGCTTAGAGACTTCTGTTTTAAGAAAGAGATCTTAATGAAGAGTGAAGAAGACTTCTAAAGCATTGAGATGTCTTTAGACAAGTGTATGGACAAGCAGTATGCTTAGCAGAGAGGTGAGCAGAGGAGTGGCCAGTAGACTGTTGCTGAGGTTACTGCTCACGTTTCTGCTAAGTTGAAGAAGTGTTTGGTGTGTGCTTTGTTGACTGAAAATGAATCAACACACAATATATCCTGGTTCAGAGACGGTGTAATCCTTCTACATCTAGTCCCACCCTCTTTCAGATGGATTTCCACTAAAGTATTAAGCCCAATACACTTACTGCCCGTCTGGCTGTTATCACACAACTAGCTCAGACCTGAAGGTGTTTCACAAAGAGTACACACCACTCCAAGTTACTCAGTCCTTAGATTTTCTCAATTGATCCAGTGAGGATCAAAAGGTACTATATTCTATTCTACCACACTTAGGACTAGATAACACTGCCCTTCTAAGTGTTTACAACATTTTCAATATTTTAACACAATTTCTAGCCTCCAACTAAGAACTAAACTTGCAGAATATGGCAATGAGAGTTCTAACTCGGAAGTTTAGTGAAGCATGAGTCTAAGCAGAGAGCAAAGTTAAACGAGTACTTTCTCTTTTGCTAGGTATCTCTTTGAATGCTTAGTATGATTTCTCTGCTTAGAAGATTCTCAAAACCTTGAATATGAACTCATGCTTATGCCTTTATTTATAGGCATCTCCGGTTGATTAATCTTCTCCGTTGGTTGAGAGGTTTTAATCGTTGACGTCCAAAGTTTTGTACTTTCATCTTCTTGTGTTGGAGCAGATTATCTTCTTCAGCTGCAATTGGATCAATTTGCAAGTAGGACATGTGAACCCATACCTAGGCCTTCTACGCACTATTCACCTACTTATAGGTTTTGGCTTTGCATGCAACTCTGCGTGTGTAGTGTCCCGTGCTGTTGTGGATACTGTGGACTTAGTAAATTTGTGACTTCAGTCTTTTTGTATCAAATAATTTTGTACTGGTAGGATTTAAATATCCTTTTAAGGTAAAGAAAATTTACCTTATTGCTTTTTATATTTCCAGTGCAATTTATTTGGTACAGAAAGTGTACATGTAAATTTTTAACAATTTACTAGTTGAATTTTAGTGACAAGTCAAACTTTATATCAAATAAAGTTATACTGGTTGGATTTGAATATCCTTTTAAGATAAAAGAATTTACCTTATTGCATTTTATACTTCCAGTATATTTTATTTGTGCAAAGATGGTACATTCTTGATTTCGTACCTTTTCTTCATTTGATCTTTTTGTTTCTTTTTGTTTATGGTACTGTGAGTAGTTGTATCTAACAAATGTGGAACATACTACAATCTACACGATGTGAGACAAGCAGTAGATAAGTCTAGTACTTGAATGAAAGTCTAAACCAAACAAGAGGGTGACATCATCAAAACCATCAAAGTCTGAGGGACCTAACAGGTCGTCTAGGCCAATTTTTAGAATCATGGATAAAACACGTTAAAACTTTAAAAAATTATGGAGGCATTTCCCGCGGCCGCGTCCACCACCCAACAATACAACCTTCGATCGGCGAATATAATGTCATTATATGTAAAACTACCATTTTTCTTTGAAAATGTCATAAAGATGACATTTTACTCTTTCAAAATGCCAATCCCCCCCCCCCAAACTGCCATCAAGATGACATTTCTAACAAATGTTGACGTTTGTTCCGGTGGTCGGAGCTAGTGGTGTTGGAAGGTTGT